ACGTAAAGTTGGTTTTATTATTTTTAATAAGAGTTTTAGGGCACTTGCAACACACAAAGTTTATTTTTAAATAAGCGCCTAAGATTAGAGGTGTACGAGACAGTAACAAACACAAAAAAGAAGGAAGAGAGATCAGGACGACATATGTATGATAGAAAAGAAGGAGCAAACCCCACCAGAGAATCTGCTAACCACCCACGACGTAAACTGAAATATGTGTTTGTTTGTTTGAGTAAAGAGAAGCACATAAACACAATAATGGACATTCATTGCTGGTAAAAAAAAGTAAGACAGACAGACAAACAAGACAGACAAACAAGACAGACAGATAGACAGACAGAGAAAAGGGCAAGTGTATGTGTATAGTGGTAATGAATATATAATTTCTTTACCAAACTTTGAAAAATTCTAGATTTCGAAACCGGCATATGGTGGAGCGGTTAAGCGCTTCTCTGTCAAACGTTTAGGACCAGAGACCGATTCCAGAAAGGGGAGAATTTTAATCGAGTATCTCAGTCTTTCTACTCGGACGTTGTATCCCTCTCAGCTTGCGTTGGCTCTGACAGGCAGAATGGGGAGCCCGCCTCATAAATTTGTGTTATCTCGTCATACCTATTGGTTCACGAGTCAAAAATGTGGTCTGTGACTTAATCAGGTAATCAAAGTCGCTTTTCTTTTCCAAAGGAGTGAAACACATGGGTGAAGAGTGACGAAAACTCTGATCAATATGAACAAAATTGATAGATAAAAAATGGACTCGCCTGGGAAAACAAAAAAAAAAAGAAAAAAGACACCAAACCCCACCACAACCAAAAACACCCCTCCCCTAAAAACTAAAAACGTTAAAGTCTTTACACTTATTAGATCTACATTATCCAGCTGCGTCGGAAAAAAACTCACCCAACTTGTTCATGATGGTTCCTAGAGTGAGCAAATGCTCAGTTGTTCCTGATCAGAATTAGGAAAATTCGATAATTAAAATTTATGCACACGGAAAGACAGCTAACGGTTGGGTGGCTTTATTTATACTACACTCCTCAGCATCAACTAACTGAGTGGGTGATGTTGTTGAAAAAATTAATGGAGAGGATGGTGTCACTCATTGGTTAAAGTCTTTTTTCAAACTGACTCCTGATTAGCACGACTGAATGTTTGCATGGTACGAAGTTTATGGACGAGAAGCGCTGCAAGTAAGATAATTATACAGTGCTGGAGTGTAAGTGGACACTGTCCAGGCGTGGGTGACTGACGTAGTTAGTTTCTAATGAGTTGTAAAATTATGCTTCGCAAAATTTATTATATACGCAAAGTGGTGAAACAGGATTATGTAAAACTGTCAATTAATTTTAAAAATCTCGTTTGTAGAAATGCGTTCTCTCTCAGCTCAAGGAGGGGGAGGGGAGGAGGGGGGGGGAGTTTTTCCTTCTATATTGTTATTATTATTATTTGCTTTACTGTCTAGGTATTTACGTCACTACGCAACGACTTCATACGTATTACTTCAAAGGTGTCATTTTTGTGTAGCTAACTAAAAGCCAACCCCCGTCAGTGTGTGTGTGTGTGTGTGTGTGTGTGTGTGTGTGTGTGTGTGTGTATGTGTGTGTGTGTGTGTGTATGTGTGTGTTTGTGTATGTGTATGTGTGTGTTAGTGTATGATTATGTGTGTGCATGTGTGTGTTAGTGTATGTGTGTGTGTGTGTG